AGACAATGTCCTCATTGTCTTAAAGGGAAGCTAGTAGTCAAGGCGACTACTACTTATCATCATCACCACAACAATGTCACCAAAGCCTCGAGGATTTCAATGCATCTCTTTGGAACAAATTTGGGCAAGAATGAAACAAAGTGTTAGTGGGAAAAATATAAAAATTGAGTTATGCGTACTATTCTGATCATAACTTTTTTTGTATAAATTATAATGCAGTGATTCTAATTGTGTTGGAAAGTAGACTTGAAGAGCTTTCCAACGATAGGTCACACGCAAAAATCCGATAAGAAACGTAAAAGTTACGGCCTGTTGAACTTGAGCAGTTTTGCTGATCCGTACGCGCGCCCGATCGGGCGAGCTCTGCCCGAGCGAACCCGAGTACAATCCAGCTTTCTTCTCCTTTAAAATCGAAACCTTTCTAGATCAAAACCTACACATATAGAAACTCCCACAAGAATAAAATATCCTCTCCTTACCTCTCTAAAATAAAACAAACGAAAACACAAAAATTAGAAAAGACTAAAATAAAAATAATGAAATACGGGTTGCCTCCCGTAAAGCGCTAGTTTATCAAGGTCTTAAGCTTGACCATTCTCCTTCCATCAGAAGAACTTAACGCCTTGAGTAACTTATCATACGCTCCTGCAAACATTTCATTAAGCACTATATAGGGCTCAATTGCAAGCACAGTAATCCTTACATAGAAAAGATTAGGAGCACACAAAGAAAACTCAAGGTAAAAAGAAAAATCAAAAGAAAAAGATGAAGATACACCACAACCTTCTGCTTCCTCCGCTAAAAATTTAGAATTAATAGAACGAACATGGAGGTAGTCTTGTTCTGTATCATCACCCAATAACGACTCTATTATTTTACGCTCACGAATAAGTTCATTACCAAAGGAAAAAGAATTTTCAACCATTGGTTCTACAACCAATGACTTTTCAACCAATGGTTCTACAACTAATGATTCTTCTTCTATTGGAACCAATGATACCTCAACCACTGATTCTATAACCAATGACTCTTTAACCATCGGTTTTTCAACAAATGATTCTTCCTCCGACGTATTATACAAATTATGATAATATTCATCATGAATCCTCCAATAAATTTCATTTAGAACAAACTGTTTTTCAGAATAATCATATACGAATGGAAAGATTCTAAAATCATCCGGAGCTCGAACAAAATACTCACTATAAGGGCAATCAGGGTTTTCATGATAAAGATAATAACAAGAACAATGGCCAGATGCAAGACGTGACAATAAATCATCCATCTCCAAGGCATGTATATCATCAACTCATAAGATAAAAAGAAGTTAATAATAGCCAAAGCAACAAACCAAAAGCTTAGCAAAAAAAACGAATCACAAATAATTAGATGAAAACCGTTAGTCCCCGGCAACGGCGCCAAAATTTGATAGGCTTATCGCGTACCTAACAAAAATAACCTAACTATTCCTTCTAACTGTGTAGTAGGGCAAGTAAGGATCGAATCCCAAGAGACTATGGTTCATTCAATTAATCAGACTCAATTAATCACTAAGCACGTCACCAATCATTAATGGATGATAATAATCAACTAATATATTAAATAACACAATTAACTAGAGGAAATATTAATCAATAAACTAAAGCATCCAAGATCAAGCATTACCACGATTATGATTGATAAACTAATAAATCTACCCCCAATATATAAATCAATTGACAAGAAGAAAAGCAATCCCTAATAATAATACCAAAGGTCTCTTCCGAGTTATCAATGGCTTCCCAAATTAACTATCAAGCCTACTTCCGTGGAATCAAGCGAATAAGGGACATTAAACACCATGCCTAGATTCCTAATTATTCAATCATCTACTTCCGTGATGATCTTCAAACCCTTAATTGAAATAACCTAATCCCGTTAATACCCAACTTCCGTTGCAATAAGAACAAAGGGATGATAACAATACTAATTATCCCTAATCTAGTATTGGCATAAACACAATCAATTAAGCATGTCAATTGGGATTATTATTGGGGAATTTAAAGATCTACTTTATACATCAATCATAATCGGGCTTAGCAAGATCCCGGATTAAGGAAACTACTCACAAATCATAATTAAATCAAAAACAAGATCTAATAGAGAACACATAATTAAAGAACTATAAAATAAATAAAAGAGATGGAAAGTAAGAAATACCAAATACTTCAATTGATGATCTTGAATTCTTGAGGAACAATTAATAAAACTAGGATTAAAGATTGAAATTGCTTAAGAAAATAAAACTAGGGTTCTTGAGAGTTTTCTAGGGCTTAAGGAGAAAACTAATGAAAAACTAACTCTCTAAAAGTTAATTACAAATGGGTATTTATACCCTCATAAGATAATATTTCGGAAAAATAAGAAAATACGCGTTCTTGAGCTTTGCCCGGTCTGACCGGGCGGACCTCGCCCGATCGGGCGGAGGAAGGCTGCGTAAAATACGACAGTTTTCCTTCTTTGCCCGGTCAGACCGGGCGAACCTCGCCCGGTCGGGCGGAGGAAGGCTGCGTAAAATACGACAGTTTTCCAGAATTGCATCTTCATAACTTGACTTCTTCATCGCCCGGTCTGACCGGGCGAAGCCTGCCCGATCGGGCATTCCACATAAATTTCAGTTCTTGGCTATCAACTCTTCCGAATCTACTAAAAACACGTCCAATTGCCTAGAAACGCTTCATATTCCTGAAAAGCTTACTAAAACAATCGAATACACTAAAGAAGAGATTGTTAGCAAGAAATAGCTCCGTAGAGCTCAAAACCATACAAAATCATGCAATAAAACCGGGGAAAACCATTGTATAAAACACGTATATCACTCTTTCAGCAATTTTTGGTTCCTTGGTACGCCAGTTAGCCCCTATAAGCAATTTGACATGATTAAGTAGTCGGCTTGATTACAATCGCAATAAGTGATCGACGTGACGAAAGATCGTCTCATTTAGCTTAAAGCGCCTAAACATTGGCTCATCGCAAGACATCGACATATTGGTTCAAAAAACAGTAGAAGCACCAACATAATGGTTCACAAGCAGAAAAAGTTTTGACGTACTGGCATAGCGAAAGCAAAGTTCAAGTGAGCTTTAAAGATCGACAAGCGTTGGTCTTCCGAAGTTTTCTTCAGAAGCTCTTTTGTTCAAAGACGCATGGACAATCCTTTCAAGCTCTTTGTTCAGAGACGCGTGGGCATATCATTGAAGCTCTTTTGTTCAGAGACGCGTGGACATATCATCGAAGCTCTTTTGTTCAGAGACGTCGTGGACATATCATCAAAGCTCTTTTGTTCAGAGATGCGTGGACATATTATCCAAGCTCTTTTGCTCAGAGGCGCGTGGGCATATCATTCAAAGCTCTTTTGTTCAGAGACGCGTGGGCAAATCATTCAAAGCTCTATTATTCAGAGACGCGTGGGCATATCATTCAAAGCTCTTTGTTTAGAGACGCGTGGAAATGTCTTTTAAGCTCTCCTGCTCAGAGACGCATGGCATATCATTCAGAAGTACTATTGTTCATAGACGAGTGAACATCAAAACAGCAAGATGGCGTTCCATAGGTTGTGGAAGGTTGACACAACGACAAATGCAGCAACAAATCGGTTACCTCTAGAGACGTGTACTCGACGGTGTAAGATACGCGTTTCTTAACTCTCTTATCTGTTTTAACTAACGCTAGTTTGCAGGTATTGGAGTTACAAGAATGATTTAGAATCGCAGAACGTTCTGAATCATTCTCCGTCCCTATCGATACTTTGACTTTTGTTTTCGAAACTTGCGTTTCTCCAAACTCAGTCAAAGTGGGGGCTTCTGTAGACACCCATATGTGTCTCCCCAAAACCAAACCCAGTGATGAGTACCTTTCACTTTGAATCATAATCGAATGAAGTGAAAGTGTGGAAAGTCTAGTGTTGCGGATAGTTTTTAATTCTTTTCTTTCTCTCTGTTTTTGAAAACCTTTTTTAAGAAAACAGCCAATACATTTTGGTTGGTCCGTATCAAGGGTTCAATAATAGAATACTTGGATGGGGCTTGAAAAGAGCTTTCCAACGATATATTATAAGCCCAATTCTGATGAATAATGAGGAAGTTATGGCCAAATTGCTAAACTGGGCCCAGTTTGATATTTATGTGCAGCCCAATGATCTAGAGGAGGGCCTAATATTGATTTATCATTCCTAATGCAATTAGAATTGATTTTAGTCTTCTAGATTCTTCTAGAAGGTTCTTTTCATTCCTAATTTAATTAGCATTGATAAATTGACTTTAGTTGACTTTTTAGAGTTTTAATCAGAAAAAGAAGTGTTTTTAAGGAAAATACGATTTTGCCCTTCTTGTACGGCTAAATTTTATCAAAATTAAGAAAACGCATGAATTTGTTTTCTAGCACCTGACGACAGGATTAGCGCCTGGCGCTAATGCTTGGCGTCTGGCGCTAGCCTTAGCGGCTGGCGCTAATGTATGACGTCTGGTGCCAATTGCGTTTTATTCTTTTGGAAACTCTGATTTATTTTTCTATCCATCTAGCTGATTTTCTCTATAAATACGCCTCCTAAACCTCCGTTTTCTATCATCAATTCTCATCAATAATCAACAACTCCCTAATTCTCTCTCTAAGCTGAAGCTTACTCTCTCTCTCTCTCTCTCTCTCTCTCTCTTTTCTAAACTAGTTTTTGCAAGCAAAATTCTGCATTCACAGGATCTAGAAACACCTAGCCAAGTTCGAAGTTGTCTTCGCCCTAGACGTGAAAGGTTTTAATTTCTGAGGGTTTGGTCCCAAATCTCTCTTTCAATTATTTAATTTAATTGTTTGATTTATTATTTTCCTTGAAGTTACTAACGTGTGTATTTTGTTATTAGAAAGAGATACGAGACATCCAAGTAGGTGCTTTAATTGATTTATTGATATTTTGATATAGAAATCATGCTTAGGTTGTTATTTTGATTCCTAGTATCATGTTAGGGTAACAACTAAAAATTCCTAATGTCAAGTATGATTAAAAAAATGCTTCCTAGTATCATGTCTAGGGTAAAGAATAAATTTCTTAAAGGAAAAATGTAAACTAATAATCCCAACTTTAGTCGGTCTTCCACAAACAATCCCACCTTTTGAAATTCCAGAAACAATCCCACTTTTGATAGGGATCTTCCACTAACAATCCTTGACCTGTTGGATTGTTTTGCTAAGCGGTGTTATTAGGTTACAAGACACGTGTTGACTATTGACTGGTTTATTCTATTTTTTAATAATTAAAAAAAAAACTAATTAAAAAAAACAAAACCCCCATCCACCTGAACGACCCCCCTTCCCTTCCTCATCCTGCCCCTGCCTTCCCCAACAACCCAATCAACCAATCGGAAGCATGGATGGTGAGTGTGGGGTTTTCGGCCTTTACCTTTTGGTGCTGCTAGAGGTTGCATGGGTGTTAGGGGGCTTGCTGGTAGAGTAGTGGAAAGGTGTTTATGGCTGGTGGTGTTTTTTGAGGGTTGTGATTGGTGATGGCTGGGTGAGTGGTGGCCGATGACGAGTGAGGAGTTGAGGAGGTGGTGGACTGGGGCGATCACTAGAGGCATTGGCCGTTGGGGTAGCTTTGTTTGGATTGATGAGAGTTAATGATGTCTACTTTAGTTCTTAGTCATGGGTCGTGTTTCATTTATTGTGCACGTTTTGTGTTGGAGTGAATGTAATGAGGAGACAGTGAATTCTCACATAGTAAGTGCTAAAGAATAGGATTTCGAAGATGCAAATACATTTGATCACTTAACTAGAGCACCGTTAATCTTAGTGCACCAGCATTAATTTTTCATTCAGCTGCTTAATATGCATCTTCTAAGGAATGTATATTACTCAGTCATTTTATTAAGAGCTAGATCTCTGTCCTAACCCTAAAAATACTCTTGCATATCTTAATATATACGAAGTACTAGCTAGCACTTGTTAATTCTTTTTTATATGATGACAGTCTTGATAAGAAAATTTGATTACTATCAGATTATTGTCCCTGAATATTGCAGTGTACATTTCAGGATATGGATCTTTTTTTACTGAACACTGATATCTCATATAATATACTGTCTCGACTGCCTGCTGATATATTGGTCCAGCTGAAGATGGTCTCAAAAGGGTGGCAGCACTTCATTGCAGATCCTGATTTCATGCGCTTGCAGATGAAGACGGCAGAACCAATTTCGATTTCAGGATACTTCTTCCAGGAAAAGTATCTGTACTGTGATATTGATGTTGAAAAGCTCAGTTACATTCCCATTAAAGCCAAGGAAACCAAAATTTATCAGAATATCCTAGAGTTTTTGCCTGAGAAGGTTACTATTTTGGGATCAAGCAATGGTCTAGTCTGCTGTAGGAGTTGTATCCCTTCTCCCGACCCATTGATATACATCTGCAATCCTGTGAGTAAGAAATGGATGACTGTGAAGTGGGATAGAATCAACAGGAAGGACTAGATTGCTTTCTCATTCGAACCATCTTCTACTTCCTCCATGAATGAGATCACATTCTATAATCTAGTTAGGGTGTTTGAAGTTGATGTGTATACTTCTGGGAATGAAGAATTCTACTTCACTTTTGAAACATACAATTGGGAAAGAAGGGTATGGGTTAAATCTAAGGAAATTTGTCATTGTGAAGATTCTTTGTGCATCACCAAATATGTTTTGGTTAAGGGTATTTTATACTGGCTGACAGATGGTCACATACTTCTCATGTTCGACATTGCAAATGAGCTCTCTTTGCTCATTACTCTCCCTATTCCTTTCACTCAAGGTAAGCTCCCTGAAATTTGTCTTGGAGAATTTGATGGAGAGCTGCATTGTATAGTGGTATCATCGGAAGGACTAATGATTTGGGCCCTTGAAGACTGTTTCAGCTCCAACTGGGACCTCAGGTCGTTCATATCCTTCAAGGTGATGGAGGAAGAAAATCCACAATATCTATGCAATTTGGCAGAAAGAGTTTCAACATCTGTTGGAGAGAAAGTCCCATGGATGCAACTTTTGGCGTTCAAAGATGGCAAACTGTTCTTAAGGGTCTCCAATTCTGCCTACTCTTTTGACATTCAGAGAAGGAGGATTTGTTTTCTGTGCGACATGTTTGATCTTGGTCATGAATTTGTTGGTGCAACAGTGGTTCCATATTCTGTCACTATGGCATCAGTGGCTGATTCGTAGATGGTTTATCTGCCCCTTCTTATTTTTGGGTACACATATGTTGCAACTGTGCAATTGGTGTTACTAGGTTCTTCCTGTTATATAGTTACTAGCTTTTTGTTCCAAAAATACTGCATATGGCTGCCAAAATTCTGGTGAAAAATCGTAGTTTTTCAGAGAAGTCACAGTACATTTAGTTGTACATGTGGTTGATGCAGTAATCTTATTGTTCCAGAACATACTGTATTCGGCTGCTGCCAAAAATCTGGTGTAGAATCCGTAGTTTTTGAGAAAAGTCACAGTACATTTGGTCGATAAATGTGGTTAATGTAGTAATGTTTTGCAGCCTTATCTATTTTAATGGAATGCTAGACTTAAATTTGAAGTGAAACATCGTTGTAACAATCATGCTCATTTCAACACTCACTTTTATGTTAACTAACAATGAGTATGCATGTCTTAATGTCTGCATGTAACCCGAATGGACATATATCTTTAGTTAGTTTGTTAAAGGTTAAGCTGCGTTGTATGCTCATTACTAAGCATTTGTTTCATTAAGATGTTTTGAAGTTGATTATGTGTTGTAAGTGTGAAGTAGTAGTAAACTTCTCTAAATATCGGTGATTGCTGACAATTTGTTTTCCATATATCTCTTGCAAACGTTCATAAGAATGTCTTCTGTTAGGTTTTTTACTCAATTTTGCTAGCATTTGAACAAAAAAAATGATGCATCAGTTTGTTCAACATCCCTTCTCCTTTCCTTGTGGTTAAATATAAGAATGACAGACATCGACAGTATGTAGTCTGCAGACAAGATTTATGGATATGGCGATTTCAACATCCCTTCTCCTTTCCTTGTGGTTAAATATAAGAATGACAGACATCGACAGTATGTAGTCTGCAGACAAGATTTATGGATATGGCGAGTATATTGCAGAAGGATTGTGAGTGAGGAGAGGCCTCACATACTGGTAGGATTGTGATCAAATAAAAATTCCAAAAGCTAAATGATCATGTTCAATACATATGCTTGTCCTTTGTCAGCCTAGTCTTGCTAATATTTCAAATTTTCATAATGGTTTAGACTTAGGATATATGCATTGACCACAGGTACACATTCAGGTGTCAAAAATAATCATAATGGTTTAGACTTAGGATAATATTGTATGTTTCAAGTGTCGGTGCTTGGTTAAGAGTATTAAAATACACCAAGAAGAGTTGATATGAAATCAAGAGTCCAAGAAGATGGGGAAAAAAAATGGTAACCAAACAAAGAAATCGATTATGATTATTTTTGCAACCATTACTAATCAAAGTATACACACCAACTCCATACGAATAGCAGAAAATGGTTAGAGTTATTACTTTACACAAGAACATGCACCTTACTTGAACTGTTGAAAAAGAGAAATCACACATAATCCTAACAGAGAAGGCCATTTAAGGCTTAGATGGCTAGATGCTACCTCTTCACTGTAGTCGAACGTAAAGAAAGAAGAAAAGCTTTATTTTTATTTTAGTAGGGATTTAACAGCACTTTTCTAACATCTCAGAGAGAAAACCTTTCTCTATCATGGGGTGCAGAGTAGTCAATATTTGGGCCTTGAGGAATGATCCCATAAGGATTAATGGAGGGATGACTACCATAATAGTGCTTCTTAATGTGATCCATGTTCACTGTGCTGCTCATGCCAGGAATTTGGAAGATCTCTTTTGTGTAATTGAACAAGTTTGGGTACTCGCGCAGCAATTTCTTGTTGCATTTGAAGTGAACAGCATACACCTGTGAACAAAGTAAATTTAATTCCAAGTGAAGAGCAACTCCAGACAGAAATGAATGAATGAAAAACATTTTTAAGATCTACCAACAACATTTAAATTTACATCAAATTTACATTTGTTAATGAGAAAAAAATGGCTTGGTCACCTTTATCATTTTGATATATGGTAGCTTTGGAGTATGGAGTATATAAAATTCATGCCTCTAAATAGTACACAATTTTGAAAATTAACTAATGACGATAATCAATGAATTAAACATGAAAGGCAGTAGGAGTGTAGGACAAGCATTGATGAATCATCTGCTACGCATAGTCAGTTTACCTCATCAAATCTTATTAAGGTTACGAATAAACGTATATCTGCTTCAGTCAGTGAGCTGCCACATAAATATCGCTGTTTAGCAAGTATCTCTTCGCATTTGTCCAGCGCTTCATACAATTTGTCAATAGCCTAGGCAATGGATCGAAATCATCAGATTTCAGAACACGTATTGGAAGTCAACAAAACAAAGATGGATCATAGGTGACATTATAATAAGGAACGGTGTTTACCTGATCATATGGTTCTTGCTTTGTGGCAAATCCACATCTGTAGACACCATTGTTGATTCTATTATATATCCATTCGTTAACCTCATCAACTTGAGCCCGCAGATGCTGGGGATAAAGGTCCAAATCCCCATTCTCTGCTATATCATTAAACTCAGAGTTAAACATGCGAATGATTTCTGCGCTTTCATTGCTTACAATTGTCTCAAGTTTCTTGTCCCAAAGGACCTGTGGAAACCAATTAGTGAATTAATTGACAATTTGACACAGTAAGAAACCTATCATAAAGATGTTATAGAATGAATGATACATACAGGCACTGTATATTTGCCAGAGTAATTAGCACTTGCAAGGTCATACAGGTCTCTGATAGTCTTTACACCATTCAAAGGGTCTGGCTCAGCACCTGGTTCTTCTGTATCAGAGGCAGAGAAAACCCATCCCATATGTGCATCACCTTCCTTTGTTCTTTCCCATTTGGGTTTGACTGACTGCAAGTGCAAAGAAATGATACGTTATACTAAGCTAGAATACTTGCACTAACAGTCTTAACAAGCAATTGTTTTAGAAAACATAGACGCCCATGTTACCGTGAAACTTATTGCTTTATCAAGCCCTTTTATCTTCATGAAAGAAAGGCACCTGGATGCCCAAGGACAAGCATAAGATATGTATAGATGATATCTTCCAGACTCAGGCAGAAAGGTCGACCCTTGATCTCTTGAAATAAAATTACGAAATGTTGAAGGAGACCTAACAAAAGCACCAGATTTTTCTATCTCATCAACTGCAGTTCGGGCCATAGTACACTGAAGATTTATAAAAACAACTAGTTAGCAGTGTTTCTGACATTTGAAAGAATACAGTTCACTTTGGACCTAAGTATGTGAAAAGAGAGAGTAGATGTGGAGAGACAAAATGGACAACTAAGTTGCAGTACAAGAAGAGTTAGTACATTGTTTTAAAGAGTCAGTTCATTGTTTGGTATTTTGTACTATATAATTGAAGCACACTACTCTACTGCACATATAATATGAATATCAAATACAAATTAACCAATTTAAAAGATCAGGACTTGAGGCATGCACAGAGCAGGGCAACACGATCACTCTACAATCATAGCATGGTACTAGTACAAGGCTCCTTTCACTTTTCCCTACTATTAATGTATTTGCCCCTTTTTCTTACCTACTTTCATCATGAGGCAGCTCGGACCCTAAGCATTGTACCCCCCCCCCCCCCAAAAAAAAATTAAAAAAAAAAACGTGTACAATTGAGCTTCTATTTAGACCTGAAAATCAAACAAATTACTGTAGAAGAATGTAGGTGAAATTTTCGTTCACTCTGTGGTATTGAGTAGCAGCATGTATCATTAAACTAAAGATGATCATCTACGAGTTTGCCAGAAATTGGTTATATGTTTGACTCTCTAACTAGACAGTATGGCAGTATGCAAATGAAGAAATGATTGTTTAATAAGTCTGTCTTTTCTCTAACTCAGGTGTAGTGTACAGTCCAGCTCTAATTAGGATACGCTAGCCGCTAGGAACAATTAGGATCATGCATAAGTGCATTACCCACATAAGCACAGTTAGACAAGATATTCAACAAATTTTTTTCAGAAAATGAGGGGAAATTTTAACCCTCCCGAAGCAATTAAAACATTAACTGGCAACTGCAGCATGTTTTGCTGGTGTATGTGTTTACAAGTTTAATCACTTTAATCAATTCCAAGCAGCCTGGACCAGGAGGTAAGTAGAAGAAATGCAATATTTAAAGCTGATCGCTTTTACTTCATTCTAATATCTTCATGATGATTGCTTTAAGCAATGTGATCCTGGGTATAATGGATAAGTGACATAGAGACACAGTCAATTAATTACTACTATACCAAGTTTGACCTATAGCTGATGAAGTAGATGAAAACCACAGTTAGATCAATCTCGTAACTTTCAACTCTAGTATATACCTAAAGTCTATATAAATTTATAATTTATATATGGCAAATTCGCAACCAATTATTGCCATTCATATAAATCATATTGGCTAAGGTCTCCATGATTAATCAAGTTTGAATATCAAGTACACGATAAGGAGGATATCACGTACTCTACAACTATGGGTAGAGGTACTTCCTCCAAAAACGATGCCTAAAATAGAATACCACAGCAACTTGTCCTTTATGTCAATGACTTTTCAATTTCATATGAAGGATAAAGTGGTTATAATTTTCACTTTAGAACATAATATATTTTTAGGTTGTATTTTGAACCAGCTAAAATGGTTTCATAGCATTTCTAAGACAACGCGATAGGACTAATGCAAATATAGACTCGGTGCCTATACACGCCACTGATTTGATAAAGGGATTCTTACCAGGGATGGCCTCAACAACCTAGGTGTACCCAGTGGAAGAGAGAGTCTTACAACGGAGCTCATTTTCTCAAGCTGTCCTCTAGGCGTTCAGTTTACACCAAATGTCTACAGTCCTACAGATAGACTAGGATTAGTAACACCCCCTTATCTGAGAAACACGGCAAAATGTTGTAGCAACTAATTAGAAAAAAGGCGGAAGGACAGCAACTTTGATGATCAGACAAAGTTATGCAGCTAAATTATAACCCGTCTTAAAATTCAGAATTCGTTGTTACCCAAGTCATATAAGAAAGCATTAGGGTTAACATTCTCATAATTGGGTTTAACATTGGGGTTAACGTTCTCATACGAAAGCATTGGGGTTAACGTTCTCATACGAAAGCATTGGGGTTAACATTCTCATACGAAAGCATTGGGGTTAACATTCTCATACGAAAGCATTGGGGTTAACATTCTCATAGACTCTCAATTCTCATAGAATTGGGGTTAACATTCTCATAGACATCTAAATTCTCATAGAATTGGGGCTAACATTCTCATACGAAAGCATTGGAATAAACTTGCTCATAGAATTGTGACCTTCTATTTACTGCCGACTCCACTTAAGGGATTGAGGCTTTGATTGATTGAATGATATTTACAGCAATATACGATACAAACAAATCAATTGTTAGCTCAACCCTCTAAAACTCAAATGCAACAAAATCAGCCAATAATCCTCCAGCGATCAAGAATTTCGATATCTTGACAGCAATTTAATTACATGAAATTCCTGTTTTACACCATAATCTTGAATTATTTTTTTTCGCAGTAGTAAAAATTAATGATAAATGATCAGACATAACAATAAAAAGTATGCAGTATGTTTATAATCAATCAAAGCAATAAACAGGTAATAAGCTCATATAATTGAGTAAAATTGAGTACAAGAGCAAACAGGACAACCCAAAAAAAACTTAAACAGAAACAATCAGATAACAGTTGATTTAACAAGAATGAAAGCTCAGAAATATACCCAGTAAAAACTCTGTTGATCTTTTCTGGTTGCTTTTCCAAAACAGAGGGAGCAAGAGGAGGCTTAGGAGAGAGAGAGGAGAAGAGTTGATAGATAACTTCATTAATTTGGAGTCATTTTATATTACGGAGTACATGCTGTTAGGCCGCCAGTGACACTGATTTTGGTTTAAAGGAAGCTGCTTTTTTTGAAGGCTAAAACTCAAAATGGAAGCTGCTTTGTCCCTATTTTTGACTTTCTGATGCCCTTTTTCTGATAGAAATTTTGATTGCTTGAGGTCATTCATGACTCAATCCTTTTTTTTTTTTTTTTTTTTTTTTGGGGGGGGGGGGGGGGGGGGGAAGGAGCGTTATGGATTGTACGTGTCTCAACATATGATCATCTTTAAGGCCCTGTTCTTTAAAGTTACTCTACTCTGCTTTGCTGAAATCTACTCTAGTCTGATTAAAAATAATACTTAATATTGAATTAATGTAATTAATGCTCCCTCCGTCCCTTAATACAATATCTCTTTTGAACATTTATTCCTCACATAATAAAAAGAAAGAGGCATTGTATTAAGGGACGGAGGGAGTATTCAATAATAATAACAAATAATTGATATTTAATAATAATAATAATTAATATTGAATTATAATAATAATAATAAATAATATTTAATAATAATAATATTTAATAATAATAATCTTTAAAATTAATATTTAAGAATAATAATAAATAATTAATATTGAATTATAATAATAATTAATATTTAATAATAATAATAATAATAATAATAAATATATAATAATAAAAATAATAGTAATAATAATAATGATAATAATAATTATTATTAAAAATAATATTAATAATAATTAAATTTTTAATAAAAATTAATATTTAAAGATAATAACTAATATTTAAAGATAATACTTATTATTAATTTTTAATACTAATAATAAAAACAATAATTAAATAATAATAATAATAATAATAATAATAATAATAATGAAATTTGCGCTGCTCTGCTCTTGGTTCGACTATGCTCTGATCTGCTGAAATCTGTTTTGCTCTGCTCAAATCTGCTCTACTTTGCTGACTCCCACTCTGCTCTGTTCTACCCTATCCAAAAGCTCAAAAGAACAGGACTCAAGTCGTTTAGACCGTACCAAGGTTGAAAAGTTATCTTGAATTCTAGATCAAACTTTCTTAACCATTGTCTAGCTTATGAGGACATGTTATGTTAAATTGTAAGAAAAAAAAGAACTTAGTTATTTTGATGTTATGTAAACCAAATTGACAATTGATGTATCATAGTGAACCACTAATCTAAAAGACGATTACAGGTTATCTTTGGTATAGTATGCATAAAGTTGTCACCCTCCAAGATAAATGAGACTCAGAATACTTATCATAAAAACAAAAAGGATAGTTGTATTTAGAGAAGAGAGGAATTTCTTATTTCATTGAGTTTTATTTTTTAGATGTGAGAAAGCTGACTTATAATATAGAGGAAAGGAGAAACGAACGATCAACAATCAAGAAGAAAATAAAATGATAAAATAATGCTACATTGAAAATGACAAAACAATTTCAATTTCATATTTTAGAGTTTTAAATTTTGGGTGAAATTCAAACTGAAATTTGGTTTTTAATTGAAAGTGGGATCCAAATTGGTGACCATTAAAATGTTGTCAACACATATTGTATGTGGGCTACCACATAACCATTGTATGTATAGCCTTTTTTCACCCACTCGTTACATTACCCATGTCCTAAGACGACTAGCTTGAAGTAGAGTGCATCTTGTCGCATAGTCTCTATATGCATTTGTTGATATAGGAGGACAAAAGTGGAAAAGCGCATTCAGAAGGTTTTTTTTTTTTTTTTATGGTTTTATTGGTATTTTTTTGTATTATTATAAAAGTATATTGTATTTTTTTCCTCCCTCCGTTTTTAAAATACTTGCTCCATTTCTCTATGCGCGAAGTTTAGGAGAAATTGGAGAAAATAATAAAATATGGAGGTAGTGCGGTAGGTGAAAGAATAAAAAGTCGTAAAAAACAAAAATAGTGGAGAAAATTGAAGGAGAGAGAATATATCATTAATAAAATATGATTTATGTTGGTCCACTAGGTGAGAGAAATGAATTAAATATTGAAAAAACATTCCAAATAAGGAAATGAAGCAAGTATTTAAACACGGCGAAGAAAGGAAACTGGAGCAAGTATATAAAAACGGAGGGAGTATCATTTATATCTTAGTAGTACTATTATACTCCCTCCGTTTTTAAATACTTGCTCCACTTTCCTTTTCCGGCCGTTTTTAAATACTTGCTCTATTTCCTTTTTTGGAAACCTTTTACAATATTTAATTCATTTCTCACACTTGGTGGACCCAATATAATACTCTCTCTCCTTCTATTCTTCCACTATTTTTGCTTTTTACAATTTTTTATTTTCTCAACTATCCCACTATTTCCATATTTTATTACTTTCTCCAATTTCTCCTAAAACCAATTTCTCCTAAAACTCCGCGCATGGAGAAATGGAGCAAGTATTTAAAAACGGAGAGAGTATCTCACAGTAGTATAATATTTTGATGTACCATATACATACTTATTTGTACTATTAGCATAATATTTATACCATTACAACATTTAATGGTATTATTTACCTATTAAATGGTACTTTATACTCCCACTACAACTTCACTTTTATTACTACAGTGTCATCTTATATGCAATGTTTGCATATAGGAGCTATGCACTAGACCTTAAGCCTTGAGACACATGTGGGGTACTACAAGTTAACAACCCACCTCTCACTTTCCCAACTAAGTTATTCATCCTCTATAATAGAGAGCCACTACACATACACTAGGTATATATGGAGCCTACATACACTACCAATTAATAACTGCCACCTCACCTTTCACCAAATAAAAGAGAGGAAAAATTGGGGGGGGAAAATTCAGCCTTTTACTACCAATAAGGACTTTTAGGCGGGAGTATTACTTTGGTGCCAATGTTAAAAAAATTGTGGCCCTCACCTTTCCCACCCATTTTCATAGTTTTATCATCAACTAAAAAGTAAATAGTTACTCTCAAGGAAATCCCTTGACGGTGGCAACCTTTTCCGGTGATTTTTTTTATTTTATTTTTTTTGTTGTTTGATAAAATCGCTGGTGTTCAAGATCGTAGTTATGTATTTCATAATATTGATGTTCAAGATCCTAGTGTTTAATACTTTATGCTCGATACTCCATCTACAAAATATGTTATATGAACAGTTATGTTATAAAATTATTGAACAATAATGTTGTAGTTTCAATTTTTATTGTTAATGATTTTTTATTTCTAGTCCAACAATAATTGTAGTGTTTGTTTAATTTGAATGTTACAAATATTTTTTTGTTATTAAAATCAAGTGATTTGATTTTGACAAACTTCTGGAATTGTACAAAGAACAAGTATTCTGGTTAAAATCCACTATCCTGGTTTAACGAAGAAGAAGAATCGAGTTCTACGTGATGTTAAAATGGTTTATATTGACTAGCTTTTGGACCCGTTCTAGTTAACGCACGGGTTGTGCTTTAACTATAGGGTTTTAAGTACTTTAATGCGGAATTTCACGAATCCTATTCGTTTGCACCTAAACAGGATCTACAAGCATAACACATAAAGAATCACATAATACATACTTTGACGCGTGATTTCTACAAGCGATTAACTGAAAATAAGGGAGATAATAGAGCCCCAAAAGTTGCTCCTCTACTTAGTCCATGGGACAGGATTGAACTTCCACTACTGCTAGGTAGTTAGACACGAACACTTCGAACCACTTTCTACAGAGAGGGGAGGAAAAACCAACCACGAACACCACCATTCCACCACCGTGCACCACCTAGCACTAGGAGGTTGTATGGCTGTACGGACGGGAGGAAGGGAGTGAGAGAGAGATTGCGTGAAGCATTAGGGTTTGGTTGCTAGCTTGTCAATTCACAATTGACTGCTAATTGTGTGTTATGTCAAATCCTAGGCAAGACCTCTATATATACATCATATGTATAATTAGTGCCCAAACCAAGCCCACAATATTCTCCTTTCAATCCCATATGGTTGGCCACTCCATGAGGCTCAATAATGGGTTGCTTTCTTTTATTTAATCCAGTACCCTTTTGTGTGACCTTATATGACCCATTCTATTGGGCTTTGGAATATTGGACTAGCCCAAAGATCATTGATCACGTCTAGCAACAGATAATGACGACCCAAAAGAATGAACTTAATTATCTTCATAATTTGATCCATTATATATCTAGTAATTGCACTTGACGAAGATATAAATCCTTCATTAACTATTAGTTTTATTAAAAACTTTACAAATTACTTGAATGAGTTCATATCATCGTCTTTTGACATGCCATAACATTTTATGAATTAGTAGTAATAATTGTAGAAAATGTGGCTTAGAATTGTAAAATCAAATCTCTATTTGCATGATAGTAAATCAACATTATGTATAAAAACTAAATACCAAACACTTATTATAATTTTACATTAAATATGAAGGCATGAAATTCTTCTTTATCAATATATTTCTCTTATAAAGCGCTTAATATCTTGAAAATAAAACCCTATGACATGCAAGCAATGTCATCATATGGAATTTCTATAGTATTCTTGCAAGGAACTCTTCATTTTTCTTGTTAAAGTCAAATTTTCCTTCTTTGTCGCCTCAATATTTTCCTTTTCAATCCTCATCTTAATTGTTGTACAAATTTTACATAGAATTTTAAGAGATGTTTCTCTAATTTTTTATATTTTAGATTTTTTTAAATTTTTTTTAGTGATGTGAAAAAACTTTATTAAAATTCCATATTTATATTAGAAGAGAGGGAAGATAAGGGGTCAAACAATTGAATGATGAATGTGAATAAATTGAATTGAAAGATGAAGGGAGAAGAGGAGAAATGGAGAATGTATAGAAAATTTAATTTGTTATTAAATTAAAATAGAGATTATAAAATATAAAGAGTCATTGAAATATAAAAGAGGGAGATGAAGAGAATTTCTTTGAAAACATAAAGAAAGAGGTTAAGGAAAGAGAATGATTATAAAGAAAGGTGGAAGAGAAGGATGCCATGTGTCAACTTTCGTTTGTTTTTTTAAATACTTAGTATAGATATATATTTAATAACAAATACAATTTTTTAGTATCTTAAATATTATATATATCAGTAACCTGATAATGACACCTATATAT